GGGGAGGGGGGAAGGCGGGGAGAATGAGTTAATGAGCAACCTAAAGAAAAATATTATTGAAGCAGGCATCTGAACAGGGAACAATGGGCATAACTGCTCTGCCAGCGTCCATTTTCCTCTCACAGTGAAATTAGCACAATGGGCTATCCAACCAGTTCAGGAGGTATCCATAGTCACAGTTCTGGAGGAACAAGTATGGAAAAGTGACAGCTACAACAGAATGGACCCTACCAAGACAGAAAGCAAGCAACATACAAAAGAAACAATCAAGACCTATCCTTGGGGATCCAATTTTTTTTTTTTTTGGTAAAACTTATTAAAGTTTACAAATACAAAGATAAAAGACTAATACAAACTAAGAGAAATATAAAAAGTGAAAAAGAAGAAGAAAAGTGCAAAGAGAGAGAAGAAAGAAAAAAAAGAAAAGCAGGAAAAGGAGAAATATAAAGAAATGACTCCCCCCTCCCTCCAGACAAGTATAAACAACCTGAGTAACTTAACACTTTCTCTAGTATTTCAATAATAAAAAAAAATCTCTTCCCATATCTCATCTCTTATCAATAAACACAGTAAAAACTCACCATTCAGTTCTATTCAGCAAAAGTCATTAAGAGCTACCAGAAATAATAACATATATATTTTAACCTTAATTAAATAAATCCATTTTGTATTCCAACTTATCACTCCCTCTGAGGAATAAAGCAAAAAAAACCTCTCCCCATTTATAAACAAATCTTCAAAGCCTTGCCATTCAGTTCTGGTCAAGAAGAAATTCCATTAATAGCTACCAGAAATCACAACATATATGTTTTAACCCTGATCAAATAAATGCACTTTATAGTCCTTCCATTTACTTTTAAAAAGTTTGGTCTTTAATCCTGTCAAGTAATATTCCACAAATTGGTTTCTTATCATTTTTTCTTTGTCTCCTCTCAGCAACAGCTTCAGTAGTTTAACAGGTCCCTTTTGTAAATCCAGGATAAGGAGGCTATCCAAGTCACTCTTCTGATTTATTATTTGTATATCTCTTATTAAAACATCAGCCAGTTTCATTTGTAAATCCATTGTGGCATCTTTCTCCATATCATTCTTGTAGTCTGGCATTTTTAAAAAATCCATTTTCAAATCCATATTCAAGCCAGCCTCAGCCTCTATTTTGTGCAGTAAAATCTGTTTCTCTTCTGTAGCCTCTGTTAGATCCATTTTTATAATGGCAGACAATCTTGAAAGTAATTTCTGAGTACATTGTTCCCAGACAACCTTAATTTCTTCTATAGTCAGATAATATTGCTCCATTGTATTAATAGGTCTCTTCTCCTT